TTGCAAATAGTATGGACAGTTGGGTTTAGGGTAGGCTAAGGCCGGTGCTTTGGCCAGAGCCTGCTTCAGCATGGTGAAAGCCTGCTGATGGCTTTCCTCCCATTGCCACTCCTGCCCCTTCCAAAGTAACTAGTATAGTGGCTTAGCTATCTCTGCGTACTTGTCAATAAACTCCCTGGAGAAACCAGTGAGCCCTAGAATGGACCGGAGGGCCAATACATCACACGGGGCTGGGAGCTTACAGATCAGCTCCACGCGCTGCTGATCTGGCCTCCATCCCTCTGGACCCAGATGGATTCCCAGGTAAATTACAGTGTCCAGGGCCATCTGGGCTTTTGCTGGGTTTACAATAAAGCCCGTCTCTTGGATCTTCCCCAGGACCTCTTCCAATGCATCCAGGTTCTCTTCCCTGGTTGGGGTGGTGATCAGTATGTCGTCCACATAGCTCAGAGTACTGCACCAATTCCTCGGGGACTTCCACATGGCTGACGCAAAACGATGGCAGATGGAAGGAGCATTGTGTAGCCCCTGTGGAACCCTGGTAAAAGTTAGTGGTCTGCCTTTATAGATGAAGGCAAACTTGTGCATTGATGACCGGTGTAGAGGGATGCTAAATAAGGTGTTGGATAAGTCCAGGACCAAGAAGCACTTGGCGCCTGCTGAGATCGCTGCCATGATCTCCTTGTATTTTGCCACTACTGGGGCCAACCTGGGTGTAATTTGGTTGAGTTCCCGATAGTCGACAGTCAAGCGCTAAGTCTTCTGGTCCACCTTCAGACGGGCCAAATAGGAGAATTACACAGACTCTCCGATTGTATGAGCGCCCCTTGCTGCAAAAGGGCCTTGATGGTTGGCTTCAGGCCTTCTGCAGCTGCGGCAGGGTATCAATATTGTTTTAATGGCCTTGGATCCGGGCCGTCCACCCGGACCTCAGCGTTGATTCTGCCACTCTGGAGTTTGTTGCTGGCAAATGCTCCAGAATACTTCTGAGCTATAGCAGACATGTCGGCTTCCCACTGGGGCTTCTCAACAATTTGAAATACACCTTTCCACCCCACATGCTTACTGAGGAGCAAACATGCTAGCTATCTGGGAAACACTGTTCTGCTGTGAACCACACATAGTTTTAAGAGCCCAGCATAGGTCATGTAGCTTTGGACATGTAGCCATAAGAAGGCATGGCCACAACAAAGAAGACATGACTAGGTAACTACGATCTACTGAAAGTACATGCGTGGAAGGAAGGAAAAGCAAGATGGTCTCTGTCTGGTTAAAAATATGTGGGTGTAGGTGCACAGCCCCTTTGGTCATGGGTAGAAGAGCCCCACTGAATCACTAAGAAACCAACCAGGAGTGTAATTTCAGTTGAACGCACACACCACAGAGAAGTCAGGGAATTGAGTAAGATGTAGCTTTTCTTATGCAGGAGAAATTTACAAAAGAATCCAGAAAAGGTGAAGGTTGACAAATAGAAGCAAGGGGGTTGCAGAAGAACATTACCATGAGAATACTTACCAGAGGGATACCTGGACAAGCTGCTGTTTGTGTGCTCAGACAAATGAAGACAAGACTGTGAAGAACTTCAAAAAGATTCACAAAACTAAGTGATTGGGTAACAAAATGGCAAATGAAATTTAATGTGGATAAATGTAAAGTAATGCACATTGGGAAAAATAACCCCAACTATACATAAAATATGATGGGGGCTAATTTAGCTACAACAAATCAGGAAAAAGATCTTGGAGTCATTGTGGATAGTTCTCTGAAGACGTCCATTCAGTGTGCGGCGGCAGTCAAAAAAGCAAACAGGATGTTAGGAATCATTAAAAAGGGGATAGAGAATAAGAGGGAGAGTATCTTATTGCCCTTATATAAATCCCTGGTACGCCCATATCTTGAATACTGCATACAAATGTGGTCTCCTCATCTCAAAAAAGATATACTGGCATTAGAAAAGGTTCAGAGAAGGGCAACTAAAATGATTAGGGGTTTGGAACGGGTCCCATATGAGGAGAGATTAAAGAGGCTAGGACTTTTCAGCTTGGAAAAAAGGAGACTAAGGGGGGATATGATAGAGGTATATAAAATCATGAGTGATATGGAGAAAGTAAATAAGGAAAAGTTATTTGCTTGCTCCCATAATACAAGAACTAGGGGCCACCAAATGAAATTAATAGGCAGCAGGTTTAAAACAAATAAAAGGATGTTCTTCTTCACACAGCGCCCAGTCAACTTGTGGAACTCCTTGCCTGAGAAGGTTGTGAAGGCTAGGACTATAACAGCATTTAAAAAAGAACTGGATAAATTCATGGAGGTTAAGTCCGTTAATGGCTATTAGCCAGGATGGGTAAGGAATGGTGTCCCTAGCCTCTGTTTGTCAGCGGGTGGAGATGGATGGCAGGGAGAGATCACTTGATCATTACCTGTTAGGTTCACTCCCTCTGGGGCACCCGGCATTGGCCACTGTCAGTAGACAGGATACTGGGCTAGATGGACCTTTGGTCTGACCCAGTACGGCCGTTCTTATGTTCTTATGGTCTTATGTAAGACACTTTCCCATTGAGGAATAGAGTAGTATGTTACACTTTCAAATAGGGCTGATAACCATGGATGCCATCATATGAGTTGCCTGCTTGCTCCTGGACCACTTATGCAAGCAGTTCTCGAATTGTTGTCTGTAGATCGCTGATGGACCATATAGCAGTTGCTGGTGGCTCAGGAGAGCTGTCTGGTCACATGTTGCTGGCTCTTCTTTATTTCCAGGGGGTAAATTGCATTAAAAGAAGATAAAACTACATTAAATCCTTTTCTAATATTACTTGTTCATATCAGTAATTTCTGTTTTTCTCATGGGGATGTTATCTGGAACTGGTGGTAAGCCACGTGGTCAGGAATGGGATGAGACATGGTCCGTGAAATACCTATCTGGAACTGGTGTTTTTCTCTTTTGGAGCACTTGGTAGTAAACAGCATTCACATATGTGGGTGTGTTGTTCATCAGGAGACGTCTCCCAAACCACCTTTGCTGAGGCTGTAAGGCAGATCACTGGGTACACAATACATGCATTATTCAAGTACCTTTTCTGGAACATATATTTACTTTGCAACTCTTTTTGTACACTCACATGCCTGCTTGAACATAGCCAGACTTGATCTGAGACACTTTGTGTGCAAGGATGTGATTCTTCCCCTGCAGGATATAAGTAACTTGCACTGAAGTCAATAGGGAGAGAATCAGGCCCCTGATGTTTAACATTGTCAAAAGTCCAGGTAGTTTTATGCTTTTTTTTTTTGAGCCTATGCTAGAACGTTATATGCAGGAAAAGACTATTACAGTCGTTACTTGCAAACCACATTGTAGAGAAGTACACTATACACAAAAGTACACGTGCATTTTTCCTGCATTGTTCATGCATCGGTGAATGTTTGAGCTGGAAGAATGTTTTGGTAACCAACATGCAAACAGGTACATCAAATACCTTGTTTTGTTTACCAGATCCAATATCCAATACTGTTACTGCTGCTACATATAAAATACATTTGAAGTAGGATTTGCTGAGGTCAGATATGCAAACTTGGGTGTGTGTTTTGCTATGCTAGAGCTGTGAAGTATAGCCCTAGTAGGTAATTCTGGGTATATGGTCCAAACCCATATTCAGAAAATGTATTGGTGCTAAAAATGAAAAAATCTTTTGCAATTTTCATTTTACAAGCAGAGTGTAGAGAAGATTTTAGAAAATGATAATTTTTTGGCTAACTCTGACAGTCTTCTTATAGGACATTTGCACTTTTAAACCCCCGCCCCCAGAAGTCAGTGAGCCTTTGTTTCAAATAAACATTAAGTGCTAGTAGATAATACGGCTCTGGAATTATTCACTGTCTGAACAAAATTCATCCAGCTTACTCCTAAGCTTATGTATCCCCCTGAAAATTGTTTGCAGTGTTGTAGCTATCTCAGTCCCAGGACATTAGCCAGACAAGGTGGGTGAGGTAAGTTATTGGTCCAACTTCTGTGTGAAAATGTTAGCTGAGAGAAAAAATTAATGGTCTGGGAGCTCTAGTGGTGTGGGAAATTAAACAATCTGGCCCCAAGCAGGGTGACCAAATAGCAAGTGTGAAAAATTGGGACACTTTTTTTTTGGGAGGGGACACACGTATTTGCATATATAAGACAAAGATCCTAAGATCTGGACATCCGGTCACCCTAACCCCAAGCATCAGCTCGAGATTGGCACACAGGTTGGGAGGTGGGGTGACTGGAAATTTTGTGCCACTTCTCCAAGCCTGAGGCTGCTCTGCCTTGGGCTGATCCTCTGAGGCTGTATTAACTTGTGCCAGCTGTGAGCACCCCCCGAGAGGGCCTTTATAACAGACAGAAAATCCCCAGGCACGGGGGAGAGTAGGAGAGGTAGGAGCCCAGGCTGGAATGATCCAGCAGCACAGCGCCCAGCTGCTTTACAGCCCGAGGGCATCCCTCCCCTTATGGCTAGTTGTGAAGATGCACACAGCTCGATCACACCTGCTGGCTGGAATGCGGTTTGCAGACACGCCATGTGTCGTAGGGGATGCCCTGGGGGCGTATGTCCGATGCAATCAGAGCGGGTGTAGGGTAGCTCTGCGGGAACAGCTCCGTTCGTGTGGATGGGAAGCAGGGCTATGACCAGCTGAAACCAGGAGTCGGGCATATTTCCCAAGCGCTGGTTTCGGAGCCTGGCGCAAACCTGTGCGGGGCAGGGGCCCAGAGTGGGGAGAGGGATGCACAGCAGGCAGCTGGAGCCAGGCAGGGAGTGGGAGTGGCCCGGTGTAAACGGGCTCGCCGCGGTCTCCACACACCTCTCGCCTGCTGCAGCCCCCCGCGGCCAAGTTTCGCTTCTCCGTAATGGAAACCGAAACTGCCCCCTTCCCTTCCCCAGCCAGCAGCGCCTGTCACATGCTCCCCGCTATTAAATGGAGCCCGCGCCCCTGCCCGGCGCTCCAGAGCGCTGCAGCCCAGCACCGCGATGCACCTGGCCGAGATGCGCAGCTTGCCCCAGGCGCTGGCGATGCTATTCCGGGTCCTCCAGGCGCAGCTGAGCGCCTTGTGGCTCTGCCTAGCGCCCTTCTCCTGCCGGCTCCGGGGGGCGCTGCTGCCGGGGAGGAGCCCCCCGCTGCTGGAGGAGGGCGCTGGGGAGCCGGATGGCGCCGAGGTGCCCACGGTCCCCACCAGCGTCAACTATCACTTCACCCGCCAGTGCAACTACCGCTGCGGCTTCTGCTTCCACACGGCCAAGACCTCCTTCGTGCTGCCCCTCGAGGAGGCCAGGAGGGGGTTGGCCATGCTCAAGGAGGCGGGTGAGTTTGCCCCACCGCTGGTCCTGGGACCTCCGGGGTGAACTCCGCTGCTGGGACCAGGGCTGTAGGCTGAGGGCATCCGCCGCCGGCCTGGCTAGGTCATCCAATTAGTGCAGCAAATACTCTGACATGGTCCAAATTCTGATTGATTGCTATTATTATTATTATTATTAATTATTAGGATTATTTTAAATGTATTATCCAAATGTTGAATTTTATGGGGAGGGGAATTGACAAAATCCCCCCTTTTGATCAAAAATTTCCCCAATTCTCCCTCCCTCCGCACCTTTCTCTGCTAGCCCTGAATTAAAGCTGTGACCCAGACCTAAAGAAGCCCAGCAGAGTAGGTTCAGTCTCCAATTCTCTCCTTATTCAGTCATGTGCTGAAAAAGTATTGAAAGTACAGTATAGGGGGGACAAATTTGGAGCAGTGCTGCTGTGTGGCATCTTCATAAAATGTAGCCAAAATTTCTCCCCGGTAAAAAAAATAAACCTCCTTTGCCATTTCAGACGAATAGGTTTAGTTTTGGTTCAACTAGGAGGGAGCTCAAACTGTGCCTGAAAGTTACAATCTAGTTGCTGCCTTAAATGTGAAAAGATACAAAAACTGCAGTAGAGGCTGGTATCATCTAAAAGTGGGGAGGCAAATCTGACTTGTAAAGGTCTGGTTTACAAGTAAAGAGGACTGATTATTATATTATTAGCCCACATTTTCAAAGCTTGAGTGCCTGAAGATAGCCTGCTAAATCCATAAATAAAGTATCTAAATGTGGATTTAGGAGTAGCTTTTCAGATACCCAGGTTTGAAAATATTGGCCTTATAATTTTAATGATTTGTAAATAATCTTCTATACAATAATGTGCATGGTACTTTACATCCTGAATAGAGACGAGGGGTGAAATCTTGGCTCCATTGAAGTCAATGGGAATTTCATATGTTTATGAAAATCATAGCAAAACTTTAGCAGAAAAAGGGGTTTCCCCTCTTCATACATATTTGAAACAGTTTATTGAACTCAATGGGAGCTCTATGGACTGTGGTTCACCATTAGTATATCTGTGCAAATCATCTACATTCTTCTGTGCATATGTTGTGAGAAAAAGTTCCCGAAACTTAAATTGATCCAATATAAATAGTATTTCTCTTTTTTTGTCAAATACTAGGTATGGAAAAAATAAACTTTTCAGGAGGAGAGCCATTTCTGCAAGAGAGAGGAGAATTTGTGGGCAAATTGGTCCAGTTTTGCAAGCAGGAACTAAAACTGCCAAGTGTCAGCATTGTGAGCAATGGCAGCATGATTAGAGAACGATGGTTCAAGCGCTACGGTAAGAAAAAATGATGTATATGTTTAAAAAGATGCATGGGTTTCAGGAGTCTTCTCAATTCAACTTTATAGTAAGGTGTCTGACTGTGGATATTTTTGTTAATAATACATTTACAGTAAATGCAAACAAAACCAAATAGTTTTACGTGTACTTTTAAATCGGAGGTATTTAGACTGACTTTAAATACATTAGCCCCAGGTGTCCCATGTCTGTGTAGAAGAGAGGTGTGTCACCTTTGAGATGCTCTCCAGTCCTCCCATGACCATGTGGAATCCTCTTTGATAGGGTTCCTCATGATGGGTTTTGAGGGTGTACTTGAAGGTGGAAGGTGGCAGAGCTGGGCACTTAATGACTCTTTACTACAGACATTGAATATAATGTAATGTTTTGTCTATTTCAGGTGAATATCTAGACATTCTTGCAGTTTCCTGTGATAGTTTTGATGAGGAAGTCAATGTTTTAATTGGCCGTGGACAAGGAAACAAGAACCACATTGAGAATCTCCAAAGACTGAGAAAGTGGTGCCGAGATTATGCTGTGGCTTTTAAGTTAAATTCAGTAATTAATAGATTTAATGTTGACGAAGATATGAACGAACAGATTGAGGCACTAAATCCTGTCCGATGGAAGGTAAGCAAGAAATACAAGGCCACATGTTCTCTTCTCAGGGAAAGGGGAGAAGCAGGAAGGTAGGGTTGCCAGGCATCTGGTTTTTGACTGGAATGCCTGGTTGAAAAGGGACCCTGGCGGCTCCAGTCAGCACTGCTGACTGGGCCTATAAGAGTCTGGTCAGTGGGGCAGCAGGGCTAAAGCAGGCCTCCCATACTACAAACCCCTCAGCCCCAGCCTGGAGCCCCCTCCTGCAGCCCAAACCCTTCATCCCCAGCCCCACCCCAGAGCCCACACCCCCGCACCCAGAACCTCTCCCCCAGCCCCAAGCCTCCTCCCATACTATGAACCCCTTAGCCCCAGCCTGGAGCCCCCTCCTGCACACTAAACCCCTCATCCCTGGCCCCACCCCAGAGCCCGCACCCCCAACCGGAGCCCTCACCCCCTCCCATGCCCCAATCCCCTGCCCAAGCCCAGAGTCCCCTCTCACACCCTGAACCCCTCATTTCTGTCCCCATCCCAGAACCTGGACCCCCAGCTCAAGCCCTCACTCACTCCTGCACCCCAAACCTCTGCCCCGGGCCAGTGAAAATGAGTGAGGGTGGGGAAGAGCAAGCGATGGGGGGAGGAGGTTGGAGGGAGTGGGGGCGGGGCCTCAGAGAAGGGCGGGACAAGGGTGTTTGGTTTTGTGCAATTAGAAAGTTGGCAACCCTCCAGGAAGGGGGCATGGTGGAGCAGAGCTCTGCTATGCCTGATCTTCCAATTGGGTGAGATAGAGCTGTGGCTCTAATTGCTGATGGCACTTAGTATCAGGGATCTGTAACCGATTCCCAGACAGGCCACCTGCCTCACTGTATTTGAGTGACACTCAGATACTGTCGAGAATTTGCCCTTTTGTGTTATTTACAAGGAAATATTTTTTCACCATACAGAAGTCTGGTGATTTTGGGACATATAGGGAATGTCATTGTGACGGGTTGGATCACAGAAACCCCCTTGGGAGCTGCCACCCGATGTGCCAAGACTACCCCTGCTTCTGTTTTCCCTGCCAGCTCAGGACTCCAGCCCCCCGTCTTGCTGAGCGAGACACTCCAGTCCGGCTCCAACACAGACCCAGGGTCTGAATCACTTGTCCCAAAGCTGCAAGTTTGCCTAAAAACAGCTCACAGGAGTGTGCTTGTCTTTAGCACTCAGATGCCCAACTCCCAATGGGGTCTAAACCCAGATAAATCCGTTTTACCCTGCATAAAGCTTATGCAGGGCAAACTCATAAGTTGTTCGCCCTCTATAACACAGATAGAGAGATATGCACAGCTGTTTGCTCCCCCCCAGGTATTAATACATACTCTGAGTAAATTACTAAATAAAAAGTGATTTTATTAAATACAGACAGTAGGATTTAAGTGGTTCAAAGTAGTAACAGACAGAACAAAGTAAGTCACAAGCAAAATAAAATAAAATGCGCAAATCTATGCCTAATCAAACTAAATACAGATAATCTCACCCTCAGAGATGCTTCAGTAAGTTTTTCTCAGACTGGACACCTTCCAGGCCTGGGCACAATTCTTTCCCCTGGTACAGCTCTTGTTCCAGCTTAGGTGTTAGCTAGGGGTTTCTCCATGATGGCTCCTCTCCCTCTCTCTTCTGTTCCACCCCTTTATATATCTTTTGCATAAGGCGGGAACCCTTTGTCTCTCTGGGTTTCCACCCCCCCTCACTGGAAAAGCACCAGGTTAAAGATGGATTCCAGTTCAGGTGACATGATCACATGTCACTGCAAGACTTCATTACTCACTTGCCAGCACACACATATACAGGAAGACTCACAGGTAAACAGCCATCTGCAGACAATGGGAGTCATCAAGATTCCAAACCATCATTAATGGCCCACACTTTACATAATTACAATAGGCCCTCAGAGTTACATTTTATATTTCTAGTTTTAGATACAAGAGTGGTACATTTATACAAATTAGATGATCATACTCAGTAGATTATGCACTTTGTAATGATACCTTACAAGAGACCTTTTGCACGAAGCATATCCCAGTTGCATTATATTCACTTATTGTCAAATTTTTATAAAACTATCCCAGTTACATTATATTCACTTATTATCATGTTTTTATAAAACCATATAGACTGCACAACGTCACAGTCATGTTTTTTTATAGGAAAAAAAATTGAAAATGTCATATTACTTTGAAAAAAGGAAGAAGTCTGAATACACAATATTAATTATTATTAAGTATATTTTTCATTAGAAAAGTGTTAAATAGCTGTCCTCATTAGTTTAAAATCTTGTAAGGCTAGCATGCTTTTAAATGTGCAAAGACACATGGAAGAGTCTTTCTCAATTGTTAGAGCCTGATCCTCCACTCTATTACACTAGTTTGCAGGATTTTAATTCAATTGAAATAAATGTAATTGAACTGGAATAAAACTGGTATAACAGAGTGGGGCATCAAGCAGTTTGATCTCTAGGAAAAAAACGATGAGAGAAATCTTGGCCCCACTGGACTGAAGTCAATGGCAAAACTCTTATTGACTTTAATGGGGCCAGGATTTCATCCTATTGGTGTCTCTCATTTACGCTGGTTTTACACTCCATGGTATGCTGGTGTCACTCCGTTGACTTCACTGAAGATTCAGCCAGTTGAAACCACTGTGAAAAGAGAGACCCAGGCCCTCTCAGTCATGGTGGGGTTTATGTTTTGTTTTTTCCCATGGTAATTATGACAGATATACAACCTTCATCATATACTTTCTGTCTTTCAGGTATTCCAATGCCTGCTCATTGAAGGAGAGAATACAGGTGAAGATGCACTGAGAGAAGCAGAGAAATTTATTATCAGCGATGAAGATTTTGAACGATTCCTAGATCGCCATAGAGAGATCTCATGTTTAGTACCAGAATCTAATCAGAAGGTAAAATGAAGCTATCCTTTGATAATTCTTTATTATCAGAAACTAGAAAATAGCATGGTAGCTAATGCTTTGCTTACTAATACTTTGCTTAGAAGTTAGACAATATAATTCCTTTAGCAGAAGTGAGACAATATAATTCCTTTAGCAGCTGGTTTTTTTTATATTTGGAGAATTTAAAAAAAAATCTATTCCGTATGGAGTGAAAAGCACATAACACTGGGATACTGACAGTTATGGAGCCCAATTCCACCCCCATTGAAATCAGTGGGAATTTTGCAATTGATTTCTATGGTAGCTGGACCAGGCAATGTTGGTGGTACTAAGGTAGATGGGGGCATTAAAAATACCAACAGAGTAACAGTAATAGGTTAGGTTTTCTAAGCGAAAACCTGCATAGTGAATTTAAAACAAAACAAAACAAAAAAGAATCCAGAGGAATTTAGTGCCAGATCACAACATTTAAGGATGGTCACATTTTAATAGATAACAAGTTTTTTAAAATTCGGAACCCAGTTTTCAAATGTGGATGCCTCAATAGGCCACATCCTTCCTTTTGAATTTCATATAATCATTTAAACATGTAAAATGGGTATTCACTGTACATATCTAAGTGCTGATGTGAACATCCAAGTAAGTGATTGGATATATTTTAAAAGCACCTGAATCCATTTGAGCACCCATATTTCAATCTGATGTTTAAACCAAACAAAAAATGGTAGTCAAGCAACAATTCGTTCTTTCATAAAAAGCCACCTTCATGGTTCTCTATCTGCTACTCACTAAGAGCATGATCCAAAGTTCATCGAAGTGAATGGAAAGACTCCAACTGATTCCAAAGGACTTTGGATCAGGCCCTAAGGGAATGGATACTTATTATGCCTATACCTTACTTCTCCCCTAACTTTCACTAAAACCATAGATTTTAGTTTGTCTAGTAATTTATAGTTTTTTTCTATACTTTTACAGATGAGAGACTCATACCTCATTCTGGATGAATATGTAAGTTTTTGTTTGCTACTTAATGAGTTAATATTTGTCTATCAGTTAATATGGGCTATGCTATTATTCATGGTTTAGCAGGCTAAATTACAATTATTTCAGTTTAATGTTTACCCCTATACAGTACTTTCCACATGTTTCTGAAAGAATGGCCTGCTACCTGTGGATGCAAGGAAATTGTATTCATCATCATAAACATTTAGACAACTCAGACACAGGATCTGATCCTGCAAATGGACCTGAGTGAGCAGCTTCACAAGTGCATAGGGGTCCACCTGCATGCAACCAATTGCAGGATCAAGATCATAGTTTACACATCTGTTATATTTGATCCTCACTGTGAAGTTCACTTTGCAGAACTAATTTGTATGGGAATGTGTATTCTTTACCTATATGTAAACTAAGCAGGATATTTTCTAACTCTCTTTGTACCATCTTTTAGGAGAAAAAAAAGACCCTGGTCCTGCAAAGATTTACTCATGTGCTTAACTTTACACTTGCGAGTAGTTTCATTGGCTTCAGTGGAATTATTACTCACATGCATAGAGCTAACCATGTGTCTGAGCCTTCGCAGGATTGGGGTTTAAGTTATTTAATTTTGTAGAAATACTCCACTTTTAGCCACTTTCTAATTTTCTTAATCTATGAATTTTCTAGATGCGTTTTCTGAACTGTAGAAATGGACGGAAAGAGCCTTCCAAATCTATCCTGGATGTAGGCGTAGAACATGCTATAAAATTCAGTGGATTTGATGAGAAGATGTTTCTGAATCGAGGAGGAAAATATGTGTGGAGTAAAGCAGATATGAAGCTAGAATGGTGACTCCAAGTATTTTTTTATTGCACATGTGCTTTGTAGTACTATAATAATAATAATTATTTTTGACATAAGTATTGTATGTTTGTTTCTTATTTTTATGCTTTATATATATGCCAAAGACCATTTTTAATTAAAAGTAGAGTAATGTTAATTGCAGAGAAAATAGTGTGTGTAACTTTAAATTTTAGCTTGCTTAAAACTAATCTTTTTGAAATTTAGATTGTTTTTATCTACTGTATACTCAGGGATTGCTAAATAATGATTGAATTTAGATATAAGATGATCTCCCAAACAGAGGCGTAGCGAGCGCCCTCCGTACCCTCCGACCGGAGGGGGCCCCGCAAGGAAGGGGGCCCCTAAAAGTGGCAAAATAAATACCGCATTCCAGTTTCTGCATTGTAAGGGGCCCCGCCCGGACATATGTTCGGAGGGGGCCACCGTTCGGAGGGGGCCACGTTCTTTGTTGCTACGGCCCTGCTCCCAAATCTAGTACTTACCTAGTCTCTTAAAATTCTTAAACTACACCTTCCACTATGGTAAAATATATTGTAAAAATATATGTAGTTCTAGGCATAAAGACTATTGCATTAAATTAGAAAAAGTCATATAGGAAATAGTTTTAAAATAATAAATCAGTGACCCAGAAAAACAAAAACAACAAATGCAACATCATAATATATTTCTTTAATGACAAGTTAGACAGGTAGATTTCTTATCATGAAGCTTGTTCTGCCTAGTTCTTAAGAAATAATAAGTTACAATTCCAGGCTATGTCACTGGGGGGCAAATCAGTAGTGCTTTGAAGACAATGCTGACATTTTCTTGAGTAAGAACTGTTGAATCGGGCTAGTTACCATAATATATGACTGAGGCATAAGCTAAATTAAGTTAAATGGAAACCAGTGCCAAGTGAAACATCCAATTGTCACTTTGCAAGCATTTATTTGTGAAAGTGCATATTTCCTCCAGTATTTGTAAATGTGATGCAGGGTGCAATTTTCTCGTGTTCACTAGAGAACACTACTTTTGTTAGGGGAGAATATGAAATTTTTCTCAAAACATAATCATGTTTTTACCCTTGATGGCAAACATTATTTAACTGGAAACTGACAGTGTTTCCCATGGGAAACAATCTTTTGTTTTAATAAAAAGTATTCAAGGTGAAAACCAAATATTTTGCTTTTTACGTGAATCCACTCAAATCTTACTTTTTAAATGATTTTTCCTCCACATCCTGCTCTCGTGGGGAGCTCTATTAGAGAGAGTGGACAGAATTCTGTAATGCCTGCCTTGTGTTAAAGAAATGCTAGAGTTATTTGCTGTATATTTTGCTAAGCCAGGAAGTCAGAAACCACAAAGTTCACATACCATATGTCTTCATTTAGAAGCCAGCTTGGCTTAGTAATCACCCTTATTTAGTAGCTGCACCAATAACATACAAGCTGTAAGTGAAACCAATAAAATTTAATAACAGCCACCTTTGATTTCAAGGGGTAGCATCAACTTGAAATATAGTAAACTCAAAAACACGAGTTAGAAGTAATTTCAGTTATTACACTTGTGCCTGAGCCGTCCCCCTCCCCCCCCGCCAATCGTGATGGTTTTACAGTTATGTTTTTCTACTTTTAAAAATGTTTTTTTCTCTTCCTAATTTTTGTGTGAAAAACCCTACAAACAGGCAACTCACTGAGGACCTGATCCTGCAGACACTTATGTGTGAGTAACTTTA